TCTGGTATTTCCGCGCACCCATGTATTTCTCTGTTTATTATATAAAGGACAGTCTTTGAAAAGCGATAATTTTTACAGAAAAGCGATAATTGAAAAGCAATAATTTTCACATGTGAGATATGAGATTATCATGAATAATCTCATCAGTGCTCGAAGTACTATTTAAAAAACGAGCAGGAGTGTTTTAGTAGGTTTAAAGCCACGAGCACGCAGCGCGAGTGGCTTTAGACCTAATAAAACACGATCTGCGAGTTTTTTAAATGACTTCAAAAACATTTGCATAATAAGTCAAATCTTTATATAAAAATCTTTAAATAAAAATCTTTATATAAAAATCTTTATATAAAAATCTTTATATAGTTTGCATAACAATAGTCTTTTGTTAAAGTGTTCTTTAGCTGGTATAAAGACGTATGCACGTGACTAATTTCTTACTCAAGATTGGATAATTGCTTCATGAATTTTTGAAATCTCTTTCAAAAACTCATTAATAATTCATGAAGCAATTATCCAATCTTGAGTAAGAAATTAGTCATGTGCATACGTCTTTATACCAGCTAAAGAACACTTTAACAAAAGACCATTGTTACGCAAACTATATAAAGATTTTTATATAAAGATTTTTATATAAAGATTTTTATATAAAGATTTGACTTATTATGCATACGTTTTTGAAGTCATTTAAAAAACTCGTGGGTCGTGTTTTATTAGGTCTAAAGCCACTCGCGCTGCGCGCTCGTGGCTTTAAACCTAATAAAACACTCCTGCTCGTTTTTTAAATAGTACATAAAGCACTATACGTTATATAATAATACACAATAAACCTTATCTATCCTTCCTTACCTTAAGTATGCATTGATATCCAAATTGAACAACTCTAAATATTTTTCATATTCTCTTGCATACGCAATCAACGGTATGATAGACTTCTGTGTTGCCTTTCTTATGAACTCTCTCGTCTCGACCACGGGAGGTTCATTCTCGCCCACAGTTTCCAACAACGGCGTGGCACTCCAGAATAATTTCTTCATGACCATCTTTTCCAGCTGCGGTACGTTTTTGGTACATGCGATGCCTTTGTCGAAGAGACTGATGACAGTTTGTTCAAAGTTTTGAAGATCAATACCATAACCTACTCCGTCTTTGTCCATTGTTAGATCCACGAAGAAAAGAGGGTTCTTTTTTGGTCTGTATTAATTGGAGAAGGATAAGCATTGTTATAGGTGAGATCAATTTATTTATACTGGATAGCTCTATCAACTATCAGTTCTAAACTGTTCTTCCTAGAGGTCCAGTAAGGACATCTCTTATTGATCCAGTGTTACTACAGGGGGAAACCTAAACTAAACTAACTTTATTTATACTGGATGGCTCTATCAGTTCTAAACTGTTCTCCCTAGAGGTCCAGTAAGGATCATCTCTTATTGATCCAGTGTTACTACGGGAAAAAACCTAAACTAAACTAACTTTATTTATACAGGATAGCTCTATCAGTTCTAAACTGTTCTCCCTAAAGGTCCAGTAAGGATAATCTCTTATTGATCCAGTGTTACTACGGGAAAAACCTAAACTAAACTAACTTAAGTTTATTTATACTGGACAGCTCTATCAGTTCTAAACTGTTCTCCCTAGAGGTCCAGTAAGGATAATCTCTTATTGATCCAGTGTTACAACGGGAAAAAACCTAAACTAAACTAACTTTATATATACTGGATAGCTCTATCAGTTCTAAACTGTTCTTCCTAGAGGTGCAGTACGGATAATCTCTTATTGATCCAGTGTTACTACGGGAAAAAACTAAATTAACTAACTTTATTTATACTGGATAGCTCTATCAGTTCTAAACTGTCACCCTAGAGGTCCAGTAAGCTAGATCATCACTTACTGATCTCTATTAGATCTAAACTGTTCTCCCTAAGCAAACTCGGTTAGAAATGATCGAACTATTTACTTGTATGGACTGTTAATAATATCTTCGCCCCAAACAAGATCTTCTTGGACATTCAAGACTTCGTGACATCCGTCATGAACAGTTTGTTTGTATAACGCCAGAGAATCTTGCACCAAGTATCGCAACGTGTCCTAAATGAATAACCAAGAATGTAAAATGTGTTAGTTATTCAAGAAAGCTGAGACCCAAGTCAGATATGGTTAGCCCCTAACCCCTGAGCCTCAAACGAGAACAAGAGTTGCATGAGAGTTGAGAAGCGAGAGTTTACATGAGACTTTTCTCAACTTTCATTGCTTGATCAAACGAGAACAAGAGTTGCATGAGAGTTGACAAGATAGAATTTCCATGAGAGTTTTCTCAACATTCATTGCTTGATCAAACGAGAACAGGAGTTGCATGAGAGTTGAGAAGCGAGAGTTTACATGAGAGTTTTCTCAACATTCATTGCTTGATCAAACGAGAACAAGAGTTGCATGAGAGTTGACAAGCGAGAGTTTACATGAAAGTTTTCTCAACATTCATTGCTTGATCAAACGAGAAAAAGAGTTGCATGAGAGTTGAGAAGCGAGAGTTTGCATGAGAGTTTTCTCAACTTTCATTGCTTGATCAAACGAGAACAAGAGTTGCATGAGAGTTGAGAAGCGAGAGTTTACATGAGAGTTTTCTCAGCTTTGATTGCTTGATCAAACGATAAGCAATAACATTGTTCATCGGATGGGAAAAATTCCCAGAAAATTTGCTAAGATCTTGGTTTAATCCGTGCCTAAACGAGCAACGAAGGTTTCAAAAGCACTAGGAATTGGAACTATAGTATTGACAGAGACCTCTAACATATTTTAATATTACCCGATAGATTTAGCCTGAAACAGCCGCATATTTCGGGGTGGTGACAGAAATATGCGGCTGTTTCAGGCTACGATAGATTTTGTTTCAAATAGCTTAAATAAATTCGTCTTAACTAGTTATTAAACTAAATGCACAGTTCAACATGTAACAAGTTATTGGAACAGTCTGCAATGGAATTTTGAAATACAGGTATAATGAACCTTTTGGGCTTGCATTCAAACTTTTGGCAAGTATTGATGTACCTGCATAGCAAAGTTAACGAGCTGCATAAACTTGGCCAGTTTAGAGATTTTATAAACCTCCCAAATTGTCTCATCCAAGTTAAACCATCCCTTGCCAGCCTCGCTAAGACTTGATCTAATCGCTGAACGTAATGTACTTAACCAACTGTCTTTCAAGAATACCTGCACCTAAAGAGCAAAAAGTCAAAACTAATTTTATTTACACTGTATATAGATAGCTTTACCAGTTCTAAATCGTTCTCCCTAGAGCTCCAGTAGATGATCATCTCTTATTGATCCAGTGTTACTACAGGAGGAAACCTAAACTAAACTAACTTTATTTATACTGGATAGCTCTATCTGTTGTAAACTGTTCTTCCTAGAGGTCCAGTAAGGGTCATCTCTTATTGATCCAGTGTTGCTACAGGAGGAAACCTAAACTAAACTAACTTTATCTACGCTGGATAGCTCTATCAGTTCTAAACTGATCCACCTATAAAGTGCAAATCATCTACAACCGACAATACCTGTGAACTTGCTTGACTCTGTGTCTGTTCAAATTCCTCCAATCTCATGCTTTTAGTAATGGGGATTTGAAACAAGCACATGGCGGCGACTCTGTTGCATTCAGCTCGGACTTTTGCCGTCGCGTGTATCACCTCTGCACGAGTGAGCAGGGAAAGGAACGCAAACTGATCGAATTTTTCATCAAATGGACAGCTTGGTACGTCCGGATAGTAGCCTAGGAATTTTTGTGGAAATTGAGAATCGAGCAGTTGGTATGGTATGGTGTTATATGGTATGGTATGGTATAGTATGGTATGGTATGGTATGATATGATATGGTAAGGTATGGTGGGATATGGTATGGTATGGTATGGTATGGTGTGGTATGGTATGGTAAGGTATGGTATGGTATGGTATGGTAAGGTATGGTATGGTATGGTATGGTATGGTAAGGTATGGTATGGTAAGGTATGGTATGGTATGGTATGGAATGGTATGGTATGGAATGGTATGGTATGGTA